CCCCAAAACCCCAAAACCCCACAATATCAAAATGCCAGAATCAAAGTATTCTGCAAATTTAATCACTTACTAATATTATTATCCTTAGATTCCTTAGGTGAGGGGTATTCATATTGTTCGCCTGGTTTATAATTCAAAAGCTCATACAAATCCTTTCTACTTAGCATGCTATCTAGACTGCTTTTTGTTGCATGACCATTTTTTTATAAATCAACAAGAAATCTTTAAACTGCTCCCATCGCAATCCTAAGGGTACTTACAGGATATATTACACAAGAATACTTCATATCAGAAAACTGCTAAAAAATGATGCTTTCAGTCTTCCCAAACTCAGTCATATTAGCCAATAGATAAACATCTTTCTTGTGATTTCTGAGTTTTTAAGCTACTTCCTCAAATTCATGAGTATTTTGAAGTCCTTCTGGAAATATCATATCTGCACCAGCATCTATATAATGCTTAGCTCTATTAATACAACTTTCTAATCCCTCTACTCCTTTAGCATCTGTTCAAGCACATACTATGAAATCTCCATTGGAATGTTTATCTCTAACATCAGCGCAAATTTTAACCTTCAATTTCATGTCTTCTATTGTTATTAGTGTCTTACCATCTAAATGTCCACATCTCTTAGGAAATTCTTGATCTTCAATATGAAGGCCTGCTGCACCAGCTTTATTATAAGCGAATACAGTTCTAGAACACATTTCACCTTCTCCAAACCCCGTGTCTGCATCAGCAATAATTGGCAAGTTTGAACTAACATAGACATCTTCAATAAGTTAAGTGAAATTTTCCAATCCTAATATCCCAATATCAGGCACTCCTCTTGATGCTGACAATGCTGCTCCAGATATATAGGTAGCCTGGAAATTTAAATCAGCCATCATTCTAGCTGTGAGTCCATTAAATGCACCTGGCATCATAACACATTATTTGTTCATTAAATTTCTCAAGACTCTTCCTGGATGTAATTTTGACATTTTATTTTTTAATTTACTAATCAAATATTACAAATTTATATTATTAGCATGGGGTTTTGGGGTTTTGGGG